AATTACTTATTAATTGATATGTTTTTGTAAGCAAGTAAATGTTTTATGTAAAATATTGCTAAAATGAATTGATGTATGCCGATATGCGCACACGTGTGTGTCATGTGTGATCAGATAATTCAAAGAAAACAAGCAACAAAATACACATTTTACGTAGTTTCTTCTTGGTTTTAAATATCATTTTACATCAATGAAAAAAAATTCATAGAAATATATTTTTAAAAAAAATATTCAGAGATCGATTTTCGGAGCATGAACATCATTTTTTTTTCCAGATTTTTTAGGTGCGCAAAATATTCGAGTAGAAGCTTTTTTCCAGATTTTCAGCCTCAAAAAGTACCCGGCAAATAACACAGGTGCGCAAATTACATGGGTTTTTACGGTATACAGCAAAATCGTTGGCATTTGGCTACAGGATAATCCTTTCAATTTTAGCAGATGAAGTTTCATCCAGAGATTTTGGCATTATGTAACTGCAGACAATTTACGCATATAGAAACTGAAGTGTTTATAGTTTTATTTGACCAGGTTTACAAGTGTTTCAAAGGCTCCTTTTTAATCTCTGCTTCAAGGTCATAAAATCAACCATCACTACTCACTAGGCAACGACATCCTTAGAAAAAACTTGTGGACAGTTATTCATGTATGGGAATGATCATCACTGACAGAATTAAATGCAAACAGAACAAATATTAAGTTCATTGACTTATGGCCTGATGATTGAAGTGGTTCTAATGTATTAAATTATTTGTATCATTAAATTAGCTCATCTTCTGGGTCCAGAAGAAGATCCCGTTCATCATCCAGTGGCAGCGGCTCCAGTAGCAGTGGTAGCTCACGCAGCAGCTCTTCAAGGTCTGGAAGCTCCAGCTCCAGTCGGTCGTCCTCCAGCGATAGCAGTCCCCGTAGGACAAGAGCCAAACGGAAGGCTTCAGAGTCAGTAATGAAATAATGGTCAAACCTTGTCTAAATGCCACACAGTATTCTGTGTATGAGTGTATTATGCAACAAAACAAATTAGGGCTGCCACAGTTAGAAATAATGCCAGTCAGATTTATAACCATGTGTACTTATTCCAACTGAAACCGGGTAACCATGTTTTTTTGTGCCATGAAATGCAGCCACCAATGGCCCTTTATCTCGAAAAAATAATGTGATAACTTAATTTACTAAATGCATATATTGCAAGCCTCCTGACTGGAATTTTTTTGTAGTCAACACTATACACTCATAATTCTGGACATCCTTTATGGTCGGAACACGGTCGATAACTGCCGGTGAATGGATATGTTTAACAGAATGTCAGTCGATATTGTGTTTCTTTTTGTTTTCTAAATTCAGATAAGGTAGAAATAAAGTGCTGTGATGTATTGAAACATACTGGAACATTCTGGCCTTTTTATACGTTAACAGTTTCAATTTTGAATGACAGCTTTGATTGGATGTGCAGTACTAAATGAAAATAAAGGAAGAAAGGAAGTGCTGTAGAGTATTAAAATGGACCAGATAATTCCAGCATTTAACAATACAAATATTGACATCTGTGTGCAGCCAACTTTTCTATAGTGTAAACTATATCATAAACATCCTTGATCTTCTCGTTGCATTAGACATAGAATACATATGTACTTGTTAATTGTATACCTATTTTGACACCAGAAAGTACTGAATTTTCTATCACCATTATGACGACCTTAATGTTATGTTTCAGTATTAGTCTTGACACATTTATTTTTGAACTTTTTTAGATCCCCTAAAAGGAAAAAGCGGAGTCCCTCTCCCATCAAACCTACCAAAGTACACGTAGGACGATTAACACGCAATGTCACCAAAGACCACATCATGGAGATTTTCAGTGTGTATGGACAGGTTAAACATATAGAAATGCCAATTGATCGCGTCCATGCAAGTTTCTCCAAGGGATTTGCCTACGTGGAATATGATAACACGACAGAGGCGGAGAAAGCCATCAAATACATGAATGGAGGTGAGAACTACTATGAATACTGTATATTATGTTTGGTTCAATATTAGTTGATGAAACAATTTCCAGAAAAGCGAACTTAGGAGAGAAGGCATTTACAATGGATAGTATATGGTGGTGGAGTCCAAATTGATTGGTATCGTGTTCTCAAGAAGAAAAGAATATTACGACTTGACACCCATGTTCACTAAAATATTGTGGTCGGATGTGGGTGACAAAGAATTTGGGTATTTCTCAATTCATAGACATATGATCTCACAAATATTGTATGACTTTACACCCATATTCACAAAAATAATCCCAAGAAGTCCATGGGAGAATTATCCCCTTGCTGTTGGGACCCCGGAGGATCCCTGTATCATGAACAGAGTGAATAATACTTACTGTTTGTCAGTGTTCTCCAATGATGTTTGTACCCCCAAATATCGGTTTAAACATTACTCTATTTCATTCGTCATATATTACAAGTACACACATAATTAGAAATAAGATCTGGCATACAACAAGATTATAAATCTTATATAAAGCCCAAATATTTGGCTCTACCTTAAGTTTTCATTGACTTTGTTTAGTAACTAAGGACCTTAGGAATCTAGAAATGTAGCAAATGAAGCTCCAAAACCTAAAATTTATGGGGAACTCTGTTTATGTACATTAAGAACATAGTGGAAACCTGTATTGCCCATACTTAGTACTTGAACCCTTTCAACACTGTAGACCATAATGGACTCATCCAGATCAATGCATGGTAGAGTCTACTAAATAAATAAAGTTACATAGGGGTGAAAGGGTTAAACAATGTCTAGGTAAGGAGCCAGAAGTCCAATCGTTGTAATTCTTTCCGTGATCATGACTTTTCATTTTCTGATTGCAGTGTGTTGCATAAGACAATTGGTCAATTTCAAAAAGAGTGAGGTTGAAAGTCGTATTACCAAGATCATGCTTGTCAGGCAGGGCTATTTCAGAAAGGGTGAGGTCATGATAAGAGGTCAGATGCCAAATTATCATGATGCTTGTCGAAACTTTACTTATCTTCCTCAGATTTGCTAATGAAACTGCATAGATATGTGAATTACATGGAGGGTAAAAAGGGTATACCTGAGTGGACCTTAGCTCACTTTGTTTCTGTTCGCTCTGCAATAACCCTCGGTAAAATCTGGAAGGGTAAAGTACTGACTGTTCTCATAAATGGCAGTATATATTGAGATAGACACAATAAATGCATCATTGTATGAGTATCTTAAGGAGGCTCCACCCTTTAGCAATTAACCAGAAGAATTCAATGAAAGTTTCACATAATGGTTATGTCACTAAGCAGAAATGATTTTATGAAAATCTAAGCATTCTGATAAACTGGGTATTTTTTTGTAAAAAAAAATACAGAAAAATTGAATACAGAATAGCGGGTGAAGGGCTAAAATCCTGGGTGTAACCTGACGAAATTGGGTCACTTGGCAGGTATGTGTATGGATAAAAGTTTTTACATACAAGCTAAAAGCAAACGGGACACATATATTCATACAAAAAGAGTGAAAAATTTAACCAAATATACACCAAGACTTTATTATTCATTTATTTTACATTTTACAATCATTTTGATCCTGGTAAGAGTTTGTCTACCTTGAAAAAAATTAGAACTTACGACAGAGGGATAAAATTGAAGCAATGACAATCAATTAAATTATGATATTTTATGGAACAAAATTACTCTCAATTATGTACACTTTGGATATCATTCCATAACCCGCTTACGCAGGTATATACCATAGGCAATCGCATGGTATGCCGTTATCACGTGCACGCACATGTACTTGCATTTTAGAGGGATCTTGATATTTTACAAACCACTATTTTCACAGAGTTATTGTAATTAGGTCTGCATTCCATGCGCCTCATATACGACCTTCTTGAAGTCTTCTGATCTTATGTCAGTGTCTAACCGTGAGTTAATTAATGTCTTCGTATCATACGCTTTTTTTCTGAAATACGTGTGGTTACACATTTCCGAGTTAAGTCTCGATATCTGGTGTTGACATATCGTCACGCACATGTACTACTGTTTACCCGGTGTTACTATAATTTACACTACAGTAATGGGAAGTCCTTCAATCTGTCGTTCTCATTGTAGGTCAGGTAGACGGCCAGGAGATATCAGCTGCTGCTGTACTGGCACCACGACCTGTTAGACCGAGGAGATCACCCCCACGCAGACCCCCTCCAAGGTGGAACAGACCATCACCCCCTCGCTACAACAGAGACAGAAGGAGGTAGGTCTGACACAAACTAACACCATTTACAAGAAAAGATTTTTTTTATTTATTTTTTCATGCATCCTATGTATGGTGATGTCTGAGCCCAATGTTTAGAGATGTTCTACTTATACATAACCATCATATTCAGGTCAAAGGTCAAATACCATAAACATCATTTCAGAACCAGTTAATTTGATACAACCATCAAATTCAGGTCAATGGTCAATCATTTCAGAACCAGTTAATTTGAAACTACCATCAGATTCCATTTTCCTGAGCATGCAATGTGATTTGAATGTATAATATATAAGAGACTGTCACATATTGCAGGAAATCATGTTTCAGATAGATCAGGATTTCATTAAAAAAATGATATTTCTAAATTATGTAATTTTGACAAAAAGAATTTAATGAAATATTCAACAGAATTACAGGAGAGACACAAAATGGGGTCCATCGCTTCTTCAGTGTTGGCAAATATAAATTTACCCGGATAATTTGCTATTAACTTACAAATATATCATATATGCAAAAATATCCACACAAAAACAAAAATATTTACATTTATATACTCTTGTCTTAATACTGTTCGATGAAATGTTGACCTTGAATATTTAAATCACAGGTCACCACCACAACGGCGAAGGTCTCCTCCCCGTCGAAGATCAAGGTCACCCGTCCGCAGACGTCGATACAGCAGATCAAGTTCAAGCTCATCACGATGATCATAAAAGATCTAATTTGTGTTAACACTGTGAATCACAAAGACTCGGTGACCTAGGGGAGTAAATGTGATAGATAAAAGTATAAGATTTTCACTGTGTAGCAGATTATGTTAACAAAATCACAAGGATTGAAAGACTGCACGGTGCGAGAAGAATTGAAAAATGTGATGGGTTCACTTTGCAGCAGATTCTGTTTTGATATTTGGAATTCATGGAGACCGAGAGATTTGCTGTGGAAGAATAATCGAAAGTGTAATGGATGAGGTTTCACTATGAATGAGATTAACAGAAGTTTTTTGTGTGCTAGAATGTCGAAACTGCATAGATGCATGTAAGGAAGATTTCTTCAGTTCAGTGAAACTATCGGGTCTAATCCTCTTTCTAAACGAGCAAACTTGTTAAAACAACCGTGTCTCTTGTTCAACAGGAGTTATTTTATTTAAAATTCCATTGTCTTATCTATATATATTGACTCCTTTCAAGATTATTCATTACATTGTGTGTCTGTTATATTCAAATCAATCGAACGTAGTGGTTTTGTGAAACATATGCGGTGTTAACGGAAGTATTATAATGAAGCCAATTTTATTTTATGACTTGAAATTTAACAGCTAAGCAGGGCTAGAAACTAAGGATAGCTCAATGGTCTGAGACTTGTGAAATGTGCAGATGGACTAGTGGTTCCTACCATTGCAACTGCTGGCCCGATTGACTAGTCAAAATTTTATATTACTCATCATATTTAATGATGTTGGGTTAGTGGAATTTTTAAATGGACTAGTGAAAGTAAAATCTACAAGCCCGATTATTAAAACTAATTTCTAGCCTTGCGAAGATAGCAGTGTACAGTAGGGCACTGTGGTCATGGTATATGGTACATTAAATAAAATCTACGTCTTCACAACATTAGCTAGCTTTACACAAAGTAGATTTTTGCACTTGGTACATCTTGAAATGCAAGTACCTCTTACTTAGTAGTTGTGGTTGTCAAAAATATTTTTTGGGGCAATTTTTTTGTACCTTTCAAAAAATCTGAAATCTTTAAAAATATCAACAAAATTTTCAATACTGTGGTATATCATATAGACATATTTGTAGGTGTATTGTGCAGGATGTGTCCACAATTTATATAGGATCAGACCATTCCTACTGTACACTGCTTCCTAATCACATGTCAGCCATTCTTTTACCTTGTAGGACATTTTCTCATGATGCTTTTGAAGTTTTTAAAGTCATTCATTGTATTGTCAGGATGTGTGTTTTTACTGTTTTATTGTGAAGTTCATGAAAGCAGGCAATGTTATTGCATTGGGATGAAAGTGAAACTGGTCGATAATTTGGGAATGTAAGTATTGCTGGTTTAATATAATGTAAATAAATTTATAAAAGTATGAATAATTGTTTCTTTTTCATGCAAGCTGCAAGTTCATCTTTCTGTTTGGTTTGTTTGTGTTTTACATCCTTTTAACAGCTATGGTAATTTAAGGACGTACCAGGTTTTGGTGGTGGAGGAAAGCTGGAGTTTCCAGAGAAAAAGCACCAGCCTACGGCCAGTACGTGGCGACTGCCCCACGTAGGCCTCACACTCGCGACCCAATGGTAGAGGGCTAATGGTAGCAGAATGTCAGATGCCTTAACCACTTGGCCACCGCAGCCCCCCCCCCCCCATCTTTCTGTACGATTTTGAAAAGCAGTACTTATCATTGGTGATTTGGCCCAATTGCTTTAAACAAATTTTCTATGGTAACTATGAGTAGATATCAACCATATTTGGTTCAAAGCATTCTCAGGTGGTTTGGATTCTAAAGAGTACAATGCTTCTCTGGGCTAAAAAGGAAAATTTAATCTTATTGCTGATGACATGAACAAATTTTGGTTTAAAGCAATCCCTGGTGATTGTGAGGCTGACCACTACAGTGGCCTGAGGGGCAGAGGCTAAAAACAGGGTGATTAAGCCATATTGCTGATAACCCTGGACCTATGAAATGGATATTGACCATATTTGGTAGGAAACTTCCTCAGGTTATGGGAATTCAAAACTGTAAAAGTGGAGGCTGTAGCAGTTCTACTCTATTGCTGGGTATGAAGTGGTGAGTACAGGTATCGCACCAGGATTGGCCTCTTGGGGATGTAGTTCTCCTGTCATGGAAATTATTGAGATCCTCACGCTATGACTATATATACAATTGCTGAGTATATGCTACCAGAAATGGTTCCTGGGTCTAGTCCCACCCCACGGGACTTTGATCTCTGGGACACAACATGGAAACAGTTGAGATCCCTACCCTATGATAGAATCACATACATTTATCTTTTTTTCTTTTCAAGTCGAGCAGTTTTTAGGATCAGCTTTAGGGTCTGATCCCACCCATTAGGAGTTAGCCCCTGGATCATAACTTTGAAGCAGTTCCCAACCCAATATTTATATCCACATACACAATTGCTGGACATGAGGAAACATGCAAAATCATGCTATCATAATTGACTTTGTACACTGCAACTTGGTCCCAGCTGGAATTACTCTTTGGGTCCAAATATGGAATCCCCACTCTCAAGAACTTTTTAAATAATTGTTTTGCCTTAAAAGACAAATACATTTGCGACATCAGAAGTTGCCTAATAGTCCATTGGCCCAAAGGGCCATGTGAGCTTACGGCATGGCATCCGGCGTCAAATTTTCCATTTTAACGACTTCTTCTCAATAACCAACAGGCCAAATGTCATATTTGGCTGGTTGGTTGCTGGGATGAAGCCCAACAAAGTTTGCAAAAAGAAATGACCTTGACCCATATTCAAAGTCACAAGGGTCAAATTTGTTAAAACCTTTTAAACGACTTGATTAAATGAAAGGCCCATGCTATTTGGTCGATATGTTCCTTGGATAATGTCTGACAAGTTTGTGAAAAGAAATGACCTTGACCCATATTCAAGGTCACAGGGGTCAAATTTGTTAAAACCTTTCAACGACTTCTGATTAACTGAAAGGCCCTGAAGCATGCTATTTGGCCGATATGTTCCAGCTAGGATCAAGGTCTTGGGTCAAATTTGTTAAAACGACTTCTTTTGATTAACCAAAAGGGCCAGAAGCGTGATACTTGCCAGATAGGTCTCTAGGATGAAGCCTGACAAAGTTTGCGCAAAGAAATGACATTGACCCATATTCAAGGTCATAGGGGTCATATTTGTTAAAACCTTTAAACAACTTCTTCTGATTAACCGAAAGGCCCAGAAGCATGATATTTGGCCGATAGGTTCATGAAATGAAGCCCTACAAGGGTCTAATTTATTAAAATGCTAAAACTACTTCTACTGATCAACCATAAGTTGTGGAATCACTATTAGCTTACCTGCCCGAAAGGGCAAGTGAGCTTATGTCAGGGTGAGTCGTCCGTTCGTCATCCGTGATATTTGGCTGAAAGCTTCACTGGTTGGAGCCCGACAAAGTTTGAGAATGAAAATGACCTTGGCCTACTTTCAAGTTTACAGGGGTCAAATATGTCAACACCTCAAGTGACTTCTCCAGAGGAACTGAAAGGTACAGAATCTTAATATTTGGCTGGTAACTTCTTTAGATTGAGCATGACAAAGTTTGAGAATGACCTTGACCTACTTTCTGGGTCACAGTGGTCAAATATGTCAAGTTTGCGAGTGAAATACTTGTACAGTCTAATATTTGATGAGAATATTTTGCTATGACTGCTTAAATATTCAGGTGAGCAATACAGGCCCTCTAGGCCTCTTCTTATTAGTTTAAGGGAGGGAGTGGGGGGGGGGGCTAGGTTTGCATTCCATCCGTCCAAGAAGAAGCTTGTCCGGGATGCATCTTCTAGACTATTTCACCTGGAGTAACCACATTTTATGTACAAGGACATCTTTGGTGGCAGAGGGCAATAATAAGGTCATTGGGACCTATGACTTGACCTTTGACCTTTACTTTTGAAAATGTTTGTCAAGGGCATATCTTCTATACTATTCAACTGGAGTAACCAGATTTGATGTAGAAGGACATCTTGGGAGTGCATAGTGCAAGAATTAGGTCACAGCGACCATTGACCATTACTTTTGAAAAAGTTTAACATAAGTGTACTGTTTCTTAAATATCGAAATCATTACTGGTGGGGGACTATGGATTGCCTTGTTCCCAGAGGGATGAAGGAAAAAAAACCAGTATCATGTGATGGGACACAAGCTGTAGATAGTTCACCAATACCCCTATACAATGGAGTTACATAGGAATTTTAACTGTTAGAAGACTTCAGACGAGGAAAATCACATCAACAGGTGTCTTCATGATAAAAAAGACAAAGTATACAAGACCCTGTAGTGATGTCACTTAGAATATATCCTTGTGAATGTGGAATCCATAATGGAAAATTAGGATGGTGCATAGAGAAGCTGTTTGGTTTGCAACACCAACCTACAGCTAGAAATCTGTAACTGTAACCCTATGGATCCTTGGTTGGACAACTCTGGCGAAACAATGCAGGAGAGGTGTAAAATCCTCTGCGTTGAAACCGCTACCATCCTTTACTGCATAACCACATTTACAACACCCTCAAAACGTATCTAACTGGGTCAGCTCATCAAGATACCTATAAATACAGTTTTTACCAAGAATATGACAGTAGCTAGAACTACACCTTTGTACGAAACAATCCGGGCAGACAACAGAAAGACTCTAGGAATCTGAGTGGCAATACTTAATGCCATTCGGAAAATGTTTTATCAAGCTTTTAACCTTTTGGTCCGAGTGCTGCCATGTATGTATAATGAAATGCACGCAAGTATATCTGTAGAACAGACTCCTGTTGCAGATTAACAGCATAGAAAAACAAATACCAAAATTAAATGAAATGTCAATTTCAGACGGTTCACTATCAGAATCACTGTTAACACTTATTTCTCAACTTTCAGTTGTTTGATTTATTGTTAAATGAAATTCAAACAATCTTATCTTCATCTTGTTTTTCTGGCCTATTTATAGCTCCAACAGACATATACTTTTTTGGCAGTTAAGTTTTAGCATAAAAGCTATCCAAAACAAGCCCTTCTGGCTACATGCAGGAACTAAGCCAATCATATAAATTAAGTTTGTTGAACTTGAGCTGGGATGTTTCGCCTATCGATAGAGAGTGTATACACACACTGTGTCAAATAAATGTACTACCACATTCTTTAATATCCAGCATAAAGTATTTTTTGAGTCTCTAGATCATGTTCTTGGTATAAAATCTTCATGGCAATTGCATCTTTCTACATATAAGTATTTAAAATTTACCACACTCAAGCAGTCTTGTAAAAATTGCATTTATTGTACATTTATTTCACATTATATATTAAGATTTTATGATACACATGATTGATTTAAAGACAAATCTCCATCATAAGATTTCTCTATGTACAAAAGAGAACTTTATGCACATCAAACATGCAAATAAACTTGCTTCCGTGCTAGTGAAGACAAATCACTGGTTGATTTCACAAGATTAAAAATTCATAAAATGATAACTTTTCAGAGAATGCCTTTCAGATCGTTGTCACCAGTTAGATGCTGAGATATATATATAAAGAACGTAGGCCCTGGGCTAGCCACGGCTGGTGTCTCGTACTGTCACAACGGTTAATATCCAATGAATGTCAACCCGATACGTCCTATATGTATCAAATGCATTGTCCTAACATGAAGAATGTCAACTGAATGAGGCGACATGTCTGGCCGACATATCAAAATGTATAAATAACATGGAAAATAAACATAATGTCTGTCAGATATAATGGGTGTCATAATCTCTTCAGCACTTTCTTTTTCTCTTTTTTCTTTTTGTCAATAAGTTTTTTGTCACCGGCATGCTTTTTCGCCATTGGTCCTTCTATGCTACCCTTCAATGATGATGTTAAACCTGATTCTGTTGAAGCTCTGTAAATAACAAAAGTGATATTAAAAATATGTCCAATGTTTAGCAGAAGATGTGCAAGTCTCAGTTGTTGGGTAATTATGCCTTGGACTAACAATATGTCAAATTTGCAAACCACAACTTTTTAAAGGTCTTTTTACCTGAATAATTGAATTGCAAGACTTAAAACCATCATACATATTTGTTCATTCAATAACACAACATTGTTATAATTTGTTACCGGAGCTATTCCAGAAATGAATCACATAGCTTTGTTTTTGTGAACAAAATCAAATGTCTTCCCTTATAAGCAATAATTGATATACACTTTGCAATTATTTCACCTTTGACCTAGAGGTGAAGGTCATGATAACCTAAATAGAGTGCACGGCCCACCTGTGGCCACCACAAATCTATTCACCTTTAAAGTTTTATTTTCATGTTATTAATAGCCCAGACAAAATTTCGTAAATATTTGCACTTATTGGAAATATGTAGAGGTCAAGGTCACTGACCTACATTCATTGCCGTGCACACCTGTATGTACTTTAGATATCATTTCTCCTCCATCAAGATTTCTTCCAGTTTAAAAGTTACAGACAAAACAAGATTTTACTAGAAGAGCCTATGCTAATATGAAGTCTCCCTTTTATTTGTAAGAGGTCAAGGTCACTGACCTACATCCAGTGCAGTGCACCTTCTGTACGAGAGTCAGATTAATGAATTAATGAAGTCCAAACAAGATTTTACTAGAAGAGCCTAAGCTAATACAATGCCTGCCTTTTAAGGGTAAAATTACCAAATATCTCTTGTTTATTCAAGATATCTTTCCAGATAATGAGATAAACTGAATCATGAAATAATATTTTAAGTGTTATAGGTTTTTTTTAAATATACGCAAGTGTTCTTTCAAAACTTGTTTTCAGATGAGTATTTTTTGGGGGGTTAATTTGGAATGGTGACTTTTTGTCTGATTTTGGATACCCGGTACTTACTTTGGAGGTTTTGCATGTATGTCTGTATATAATTTCGCTCTCATTGAATAATCTTCATACTGCTCCAATAAAAGTTTCCCCGCCTCCTCATTCAAAGCAGATTCTGGATTAGGGACTATCAAAAGGCATTTAACGGTCTGAAAATGAAACAAAAACTATATAACAAACAGATGTCTGGCGTGACATTCAATCACCGTTATAAATCAAAATGTTTCATAAATTTGTAACTGCACAACCACTACACAGCTTTGATAAATCATTTCCAAAAAGAAAATCAAGCCTTGCGAGACTTGCATGAAGAAATACTAAAGATGTATTAAATTTAAAAAAAATAAAAATCTACAGTTCTCATTGTAATAATTGTGAATAGATCGGGATTCGAACCCTTGACTTCAGATTGTTGAACTATTGCTTTAATTGGCTCTGAGCTGCCTGATCATCAGTAGTGTGTTGGCACCACTGTATTAGTTATATCCGAAGCGAAATCAAGGGCAGGTTACGTTACATAGGAAAATCCAGTGCAGTGGGACAGGGAATCTTTAATGGCAGAAACAAATTTATTAAAATTACCTATTATTACTCAGACCTGTATTTTAAAACTTACACATTGAATTTACTATGTGGAAGTCTACTGTTTGGAAAAGTAACACACTGATGGTAGATATGACTTGTTTTGTAAAAAATGTCCTTATGGTACAAAATGGGCACCTAAACGCTGAATACAGTTCCAACATGCACCTTAATATTACACCCAATTGCAATTTCTCAAGTCCCATTACTAAGAGATATAGTGTGTTTTTAAACTAGAAAATGTCTGTAAGACATGAATGCCCCTGAAACACAACAATATCTGAGGTAAACTTATACTTGACATTTGTATAAAGCTTGAAGAAAATCCATGAAAGAATGAAGTTGCTAAGCAGTATCTACATTGAAGCGGGACGGAACTTGGCAGACATGGGGAACACTATATCCCCCCCCCCCCCCCCCATTTTATGGCGGGAGCATAAAACGTTGGCAATGCAAGCTACCACAGGGAAAGCATGAGTCAAGGGCTCAAATATTGGAGTCCCAAAAATGAATGATAACAGGCTTATCAGTCTCAACTGAGATATAACTTACAGTACTATGGGCATAGGCTAACCATTAAGCAACTCAGTCAGGATGCATATAAGGGTCACTGGATGGTTATTTATGAAATAAGCTTTGCTCTGGTTAGAACTGCATTACATAATGTAGATATTACTAATAATTTTGACTGAAAAACACTTATTATAACCCAAACTACTATGTCCACATTTTGGACAGTGGTGGAAATTTCTATCAGACCAATGGGATTGTTGGATCAGCTTAACTTAATTATGACGAGATAACATCATGTTAATGATTGTAAAGCTGTTGTACTGACAAAATACAATTGAAAGGCCACAAGTACAGGTTTCTATAGACAATTGCTCTGCTAAATGTTGTCTATTTTTTTGGCTATAGATCAGAATAAGAAACAATTTTTGTCTTGATTGCAACATATAGGTATCAACCTCTGAAACTTCCTATGAGGGAGAACTCCTTCATTCCGAATTTCAATGAGGGAGAAAGTGTGTGAAACAAGACTGAAACTAATTTGCTCAATTATCTTTCCCATTTTTTCTGTCAAAATAACTCCAAAAAGCATTCCTTTGATTCAGAAACACCTGTTATGATCATTACACACACTCTGCAGTAACAAGGAGACCATTTTACCACAAGATGTAGATTTTGATTGAGGGACTCAGGGAGTTTGGTGGGAGAGTTGACAGCTATTTTGTAACGGTTATTCAAACTCATAAGACACTTTTGTTTTATTTATAGAAACCTTGGCAATCTTGCTTTGTCTCTATAAAACTATTGAATGACCTTATCTGTACCATCACACCACTGTTAAGATTCTAATAATCTAAACAGCGCTGATGATTCTCATTATTTTTAACAGAGGACATCTCAATCAACTTACAAGGAGTATATGTTTGATTCCCAGCTCTGGTTTCCAATCTTTTTTAAGCGTATTTACACAAATCTCTCCATTGCTGGCAACATTTGGATGAAATATCCGCGTAACAAAGAAACCTTTTGGTGGTTCTGAAGGAAAGTTTTTTCCAAGCACAAGCTTCATTCTAAAAAGTCCACCGGCATATGGAGTTCCAGCTGTAACAGAGAATGAACATATCTATAGTTACCAAAATTCTTCAGAGAATTTATTTGCTATAAAAAATGAAATGCAGGCAAGATATTCCCTGCAAACAAAGCCATGTCAGTGTACCTTCATATGTAAGATATTATTAGTGTTGGGAATCTTAGGTCCAGGGATCATGAGACAATCTTAGACTTCAGCTTTTGCTTAGCAAATAACGTACGACGTCACTTTTCATGTTATTTGAAATTGGTTGAGTCAAAACTTATGACTATTTTAGACTTAAGTTCCATGATCTCGGGGCCTGGTCATTGCATGATTGAACAATGATCAGTTATAATTGGCTAGACTATTTCAATTGATTTTGTGGATTAAAATAATCGGTTAGCAAATAAACCGAGCTATGTCATTTTTGTGTTAATTTTCTCTCTCTCAAGATTTGACAAGGTTTTAGTTACAAATTGATTGATGGGTATGTGTTCTTTTTCTAAACACAAATATCCTGACAGCTGTCTTACAACAATAGGCAAAGACACTGGTTTGCTTTTTCCAAATGAACATCTACCAGTTGGTAGATATTCTTTTAATGAAGGATGTGAGATTTATAACTGATAAATTTGATTCTGTTGTAAACTATAAATTTTAAAGCATCATCAACAATGAATATTGTGAATAGATATATATATAGACAGTGATTATGGTATTATTGTTTTGATCATCACTGGAATCAGTGACAGAACAGTGTAGTAACAGATGACAGTATGATCAATGTTGTTCAATATAAACACCACTGATAGTAACAATATAATTATTGTTTTCACATCTGTGATATAAAACAACTATATAAATATTATATCTAATGCATATGAACCATTCCTCATTGCTGTAATAGTTCTAGCTAGATATTTACTTGATCTATGTATACAACACAGGGGATTTCATCTTTTGTAATTTGGAAATAGACAGCAGTAATATATAAACATACAGGAAGGCTTATTCATTATTTTTTTTGAACCGCCCATCAACATCTATAGTAATTTCAGACCAAACCAATCTGCCAAAGAGGGTAACTATGACTGAGAGTACAACATAAAATCAGATAATGAACTTACATTATGAACATACAGGTATGTGTCAGATGAATACTAAATCACATAGATAACTGATAAGTCACACATATTCCATCATTTGCATTTTCATTTGAGGATAAGGAAGTTTTCATTAGTTCAATTATAAATATACCTGGTCCTTCAATCTGTGCCCGGATGTCTGTAATGTCTTCATCACTTGTAAATACTTTTATGCCTTCGGGTGGATCGCTACATAGTTCTCCAAGCTCTCGGGCTACCTGACGGATGACTTGAGGTGATAAATTCTCCACGTTTGAACACTGTGTTAAAAGAGTATGCATGTAGGCCTATGTTAATTGTACATGTACATATATAACATGGACAAATTAAATTCCTACTCAAGTAATGAATTAAATTACTGTAGGAACTTATAAAATCATATTAATTTTTTGATGTATGTCGATGCACATAATATACTAGCACCCCTCCCCCATTTTTGAGCTGTCAAAATATGTTGAAAGTGAAAGCCAAGGATTCTAATATTTTATATTGTTTAAAAGTAAATACGATTCAATGCACAATGTGTCTGGTTTACACTACTTAGAATGTTTTAATTGACCAGTGGCCGTTTTGTACTGTTTCTTGATACACTGCAGACTAAATGATCGGATTGCCTTATATACATCTTCGTCTTTCGTTATTACCATACAGTACCATGATGACGAGGCAACATGATGGAACGTGATCATCAAATGTGTATCTCCCCATTTCGTTGTTATTGGTAGAAATTCGAGTCATATTTGATTACAACCGGCCTGCGTGTTGAGTAAACGTATGATATTCGCAATTTAAAACGCAAAAGCGTTCAGGAAATTATATATAACACTACAGGAATCGACATGACAGATTGTTTTTGTCGTGTATTGAAAATTATTCGAAACCATCATTGTTTTATGATCGATATGAATGAAAATATGAAAACAGAAATATTAAACTTCAATAGCTCTCATATTAAAATCCATCCATACTTACACTTGACATATCTTTGCTTGGTTTGGCTCAAAATAGTTATAAATATCACAGTTAAATTTGTGCGTGAGCCAAAGCTCGGTTAGAAATGTTTTGAGTGACCCCAATAATTTCGAATTTACAAATATTGGGATCTCGTCGCGCGAGACTTAGAGGGATTATCTACTGATGTATTTTAACTTTAGTAATCAATGTTATATCAAATAAAAGTGATCTTTAGTTCAAATTAAACAAAAATTACATAAATAAACAGAAAAAACAAAATATCGTAATTCCGAGAACGAATTCGAGTTAATGCTTGAAAACAAAAACGTCCGAGAATGTCCGTTCGGTTACGATTTATGTTCGGACAGTCTCAAGAATTTACCTTATTATAATGTAAATTATTATAAACAAAATCTGCATTGATTTGCTAGCAGAATGGCGGAAATTAACAACCATTCCACTCAAGAAGAGCAGGTTAATGCAGCCATTTGCCTACACATTTAGTTATAATTGCGTTTTTGTATTCATTTTCTCGTTTGGTGTAATCAAATGCACGATCAATCTCATTGCAATGTTAACTAACATCGCAGATATGTTTTGGTACCAACTTTCCAAGGCTCGAACCATTTATAACCTATCCTGTCAAAATGTAACTCAAGAATTTCGTGTATACAGTAGGGGCTGCTTTTCAGGCAGACATCTAAACACTGGCAATTATGCAAATGTTACGTCATATTTCAAAATAATCAGATCAAATTCTGTACAAGTTGAAAAGTTATACAGAGAAAGAAGGCTTTGCAATTCTACAATGGATGGTTCTGGAAAGTAGATAAAGATATTATTTGTGATATGTACTTTCACTTTATTGTTGTATAAATGTAATTGTATCTATTTACATGGATCTTGCTAGATATAGTCTATTTTAGACGTTCCCTCTCAAAACCACCTTGATTTTCTTCATTAAAGATTATTTTTGGTTTCGCTGTTTCCTGATCAATGTTCTTTTAAAATTATTACATCTAATGTTTGATGTAGTAAGTGATCCTTGGAGTTCACCTTTTTCATCTTTTCAAAAAGTCATTAAATATGTTATCAAAAAAAAATGCTACAGTTAACTGAGTTCCCATCTGATCAAGACACTATCCCAGTGAATATTTTAAAGCTCATGAACATTAACCGTTAAGTTCAACTAGTGTGAAATGGGCCAGAATTCTATGGAGACCTTAACTCATTCACCTCTGAAGACATATTTGAACTCTTCCAATTCAAAGGTTGAAATAGTTCATTATGAAATTTCAGGGGTGAATGAGTTAAGGTGCTTCAACAACAGGGATTCTGGGAATGGGAGTTTTGGTCTATAGGGTAGCTAATTATAGATACATATTTAATCCAACCATACATAGTTTGATAAAATTGTTTTGGTCTATTGGGTAGCTAATTAGATAATTATATACATATATAATCCAACCATAGTTTGATAAAATTGTTCATGTGTAATCATGAGTCTTTCAAATTCAGATCACTTTATGAATAAATGAAAAATGACAATATTAAACACTGATCACAATCAGTTATGTATTTTCATTTCACATATTCTCAAAATAAGTCTTACTCTTTGAAATAAAATATAATAATAATACCTTTCACTGGTCTGCTTAAGCTATAATGTACTATGAGTTTCTGTTTATTTTAATGCTGTACCCGAATGGGAGATAACTCATATAATATAGGCTCCCATTTTTTTGGCTAAGCCGCCAAAGCTGCATTATATGTGTAGCACATATAGACCTTTGCCAAATTATGAGAGCTTCAAAATGTATTCACCATTAACGATTTTGAAAGCACACTGGAAATAACTGACATTGATCAAGTCCCATACATGTATATATATATACCTGGTAATTGCTGTTAAAATTATACTTTAATGTTTTCCTTTAACTTTTGCAGCACCACAATGAACTGAATGAGGTGAAGAGAAGTCTGGAAGGTTGGAGAGAAGTCCTTCTTCCACTAAATGGTCTCTTGAATTGGGAAAAAACCTATCATCCAGCCATAATTATTGGATTAAACACATTTATATTCATGTAAGCATCCTTTAACTTTTTATACGCCCATCAAATTTGACGGAAGTATTATGGTATGGGGTTGTTCGTCTGTCCGTAAACTTTGGTTGTCCGGCAAGTTCCTTCTACATTTTTCGACCGATCTCTTTGAAACTTGGTACACATTATAATCATGATATGAAGTTGTGTCTCCCTTAAAAAAACAAAAAAAAACCAATTTTTCCAAAAGTTATTCCCCTTTGTTCATTTCAGTATTTGATTTTTTGTCTGGAGATCTCCTCCTACATTTTTTGACGGATTTCTTTGAGACTTAGTACTTAGGCTAGATAATCATTATATGTTGTTGTGATTCCTTGAAAAGAGTTTTGATTCAACAATTTTTGCAAAAGTTATTGTCCTTTGTTTATTTCAGTATTTGATTTTTTGTCCGAATCATTATAAGTTGTTGTGTTTCCTTGAAAAGAATTTTGATTCAACAATTTTTGCAAAAGTTATTGTCCTTTGTTTATTTCAGTATTTGATTTTTTGTCCGGCAATCTCCTCCTACATTTTTTATAGCATGTCAGCTAACCACTCTTAGAATGATGCAGATCTTATTTCATTGTAAGAAAGTATATAACACTATATGGCATTCAACGGGCGTATATTGTTCCGCTCCGCGGTACTTTTGTTTTGCTGTTCTAGAATTAGAATTTTCTAGACATACATTTTAGCAGTAGTTATGTTTTAGCATTTTTTCGCTTTTGAAATATTGTGCTACATTATGATTGCACTTAGTGCAGTGTCTGTGAATTGTTTTCTATTTTGCATTTATTGAGAATGCACCAAATTTATCAATGTTAATGTTAAATTAATTTTTTGGAAAGAATTCCAGTGACATTGGAAATACAACCATCATATTTCATATTGTTTAAATTGTGAATTTCAGATATGGTCAAAAATCTTTAGATCCATCAAAAAATATTTTGTGTTGCCAGTAACCTTACCTACCCTTATTTTCTGTGCATACTCTAAACTTCTTAAGTCAATATTTCCAAAGAAGTACTGTCAAGAGTACTCTCCTATATAAACCATTAAAACTATTTTTATTTCATAATCACTACCGATCCTGAATTTTTCAAACATTTAACAGGAAATACATTTTTAGCTCACCTGCCCGAAGGGCAAGTGAGCTTATGTTATGGTGCGGCATCCGTCGTCCGTCCATCCGTCCGTCCGGCGTCCGTCTGTCCGGCGTCAACTTTTTGCTTTAAACAACTTCTTCTCAATAACCAAAAGGCCTAGGAAGATGATATTTGGCCAGTAGCATGCTGGGATCAAGGGCTACCAAGTTTGTTCAAATAAATGACCTTGACCCACTTTCAAGGTCACAGGGGTCAAATATGTTAAAATCTTCAAACAACTTCTTCTCAATAACCAAAAGGCCCAGGGTACTGATATTGGGCCTGTAGCATGCTGGGATGAAGGGCTACCAAGTTTGTTCAAAT